TTTGAAAGTTTACATGGTGTGGAATATTGACACCAAAGATTTTGCGATAATTTTATTTTTTAACAAGTTATTTGCAAGCAAATTTTTATGCAGGCTTTGGCACTTTTGAAATATTTCAGCAAACATTCATTCGAATCTTTTGATTTTTGGCAGCAATTAGAGAACTTACGGTCAACGAAATAAAGTTGTCAGTTTGTAAAATTTCGATTCTTGTTTTATAAGATTTCGATTGATATCCTGCTTTTAATTATTCATTTAGTTTATAAAATAATTTGAATTTAAGTTTTTAACAGGTGGCAACTCTTAAAAAAAAAATAAACCGCTATTGCACATCTACAGGTGCAGCCCTTTAACCTGACCTACAAAAAAAAAAAACGAATGGTGCAATTCTGATTGCATTAACAAAAAATAAAATAAATAAAACAAATATTTTTACACATACTTTTTATTCGTTCCCTTAAAAGTTACCAATTTTTAGATTTGTATATATTTTTTTTTTAATACCGATAGTGCACATTGTGCTTAGTTTTATTAAAAAATGTTTATTCTTATAGTTCTCTACCATATATTTTGCAATAAAAAATGTCAAACCAATATTTTATTTCAAAGAATGTATTTTTGACATTTGTTCCTGTGAAGAGCATACGCATGGCTATGCTGTGATTCAAATTTTTAGTGTAGAATTTGCTGCCCTGCTTAAAGTTAGGTTGAAGTGGCTTCCGGTTGGTACACCAGCACACTTAGCCCTAACTGGGGCCCGTTGTGGTACCACAAAGGATCTCATTAATTGGGCAATCCCCTTAACCTTATGCCCGCCAAATGCGAGACATTCGCATGGTTAATGCCTCAAACTCCTCCTCGTCTCTGCATTGAACATTTTGTATAAATCAAACATGTGCCATTAAAATCAAATTTTGGAACCTCGAAATTCATTTTAGACCTATGTTGTAGAAGAATTTGTTGTTCGTAATTACACTGCGCGGTATTTGCACATATGTATGTATGTATGTATGTATGTATTTACATGTATGCATATATGGCATTGTTTTGAGTAACTTAAACTAATTGATAATGCAATTAACTGATAACTGGGAATACCACCCGTGTATGACAAAGTATTTTCTACTTACAATGAATGCAAAAAGTTCCAAGAAAAAGCAAAAAAGACTAAATGGAACTAGTCTAACTGTCGATTTGAATTAGCGAATGGTAAGCAAACCAAATAAACAAAAATCACCGCGATGATTTACACAAAGTTTCAAATATTTAACTTATCATGCACTTGGTTGGGCAAGATCTCCCATCATTGCGATCGAACAAATTGTTTTTTTTTCTTTCAATATTCACCAACTTTTGAATTGTATTTATGCACTCTTCTTACGTTTTAGCGCGTTTTGACTATTTCGCTTTGCTATGTAGCTGTTATACCGCCAAAGCGACTACACTTTTCCGCTTTCAAAACGCAACTAAGCACTCAACTGGCGATCGTCAAGCAGGGAACCATTAAACGGGAAGATCTCGAACTGGCAAGCCAGCACACTCTGATGATCAGAGGCATGTAAATATATCACAAGTAAATATGCCGTCTGTTTTTAGACATATTTGTGTTTTTCTGCAATCACTTGCACCCACATAAATAGGTATATATTTACATATGTATGTACGTACATGCATACAAACCAGCGTTGCCAATTTGTGAGTAATTCCTCAAAACGTGAGGAACTTCGGGTGCGCTTGAGTATTTTTATTTTGAGGAATTTTTGAGGAATCTTCTCTCGATATATTTGCAGACTACAAATGCAACCATGTTTTACACAAGAGAGTTGTTAAATCGCTCTGCAAATTTTTGAATAAAAAGCTTGTTAAACATTCTTCAAACGTACTTTTCCCATTTCGCCATGCACCATGCAACAAACTTGACTCGTTCAAGCAAAGAATTTTAGTTTTCTTCCGGTTCACAATGTAAAAGGGTTTGGTTTTCTTCAAATTTTTCTCTCTTGCGTCCTCATTCGGTAAAAATCCCGTTGCGAATGAGGCGATTTTATCATACACAACGTAAGCGGTTTGGTCAAACGGCAACATATGGCGGCCAGAAAATCAAGAAATTTTCATTTTTGTTGACATTTTCCTCAAACGGCTTATCAAACCTTAAAACACCCCCATACACAACATAAATAGCTTTAAGGAAAGGGATATCTCGCATGGTTTGTCAAGCCGCTTGTGTGGTGTTTTTCGCTTTTAAGCACATCGGCATTTGCTGCTAAATATTCAAAATGTTATCGATCATTTTTTTCATTCCATCGATTTAATTACAACTTATGTATTTTGAACTTGCAAAATCTCGGCAACGAATGAGAGAACACGCTTTGTTCGATCATAAGGATATTCGTATTGATTCTTCATTAGATCCAGAAAATTTTATGAAAAACGCTTTTGGATTAAAAGATTCTTCAGGTTCATAAAAGTGTCCCAATTGAAAAAAAAAAAATTATATCTGCATTGCTAATATAGCCCTTTTCTAATGCTTAAAAATTTGAAGGACTGACTGGAGGACCAGGTTGAGCATTGCAACAATATTATATACAAACCAAGGCATAAAAAGTACGGTGATACTTTGTTTGAACCGCAAGAACAAATGTATGAATTGCAGAATTTAATTAATTTTTTACTAAGTACCTGTGAATAGTATGCAGTACACAAAATCATATCTGTAATAAGAAAATTTGGAGTAATTGGTTCGGATTTCGAGGATTTTTCATTTGTTTTTAAGGAATTTGGTATTTTGTTTTGTGGCAACACTGATACAAACCACTTAATTTTTGTTTACATTCCTCAAACAAATTAATCGCGTGCGCGCGCCAATCACGTTCACTTAAGTAAGCTCGCTCGCTTGCTCGCTGTCCACAAAAGCTGGTAACAGCTGCTAGTTAAAAATGCAAGTTATCAGCTACTGTTTGCCAAGCAATGCTACTATTTTTTGTTCGTTTGTTGTGGGCATGCAGGCATGCCTATCATTTTCCAACAACCATGGGTCATTGTTTTTTTGATAAACGTAATCCCCACCAGTAGCGAGCGGGTGCATGATCGTTAATTTAGTTTTTTTTTTACTCTCTACTTCACACTCTCAAAGTCCATTTGGTGAGCAGGCGCTCTCAGGGAAGCACTTCATACGGGAGACTATTTTTAAGTTTTTTCTAAATTTATGGCAAGCAAAGGCATTTATTTCGTGCCCAGTCACTTTAGGTGCATGTGCAATGCATTAATAATGTCTCTTTGGGGTGAAAGTAAAATCACCGAACTAATAGTAAAGTACATTTAACCCTTTAAGGGTCTTCGGTTTTACTAATGTGGGCCGAATTAAACTCAGAGAGTTGATATTCAGTTATTATTATAATTACGTCTGAATCTATTGTGCTAAACCCTAATCACTCTAACCTTAGACTATTTAAAAAGTTGGAATGGAGAAGACAATCCGTGTAGAATGTCAGTATGCTAACCATGATACGTGGGCAGCTACATAGAATATGTTCTGGGGTTTTCTGCACCAGCCCACAAAACTTGCACTCCATCTCTACAGAAAGCCCCATTTCATTCAAATTGTACCTTAACTGGCATTGTTCCGTCAGGTAGCCGGGTAAGAGTTATAATACCCTCCCGGCTAAGTTCAAGGAGAATTTCAGATTTTCTCCTGGAGGGAGTTATGAATCTCTTTGATTTAATCATTCCCTTTGACTTCGGCCAGTGAGTAGCAATCTGAGGTTCTTGCCAGTTCCTAAGTAGCTCTGCAGGGTATCCTCTTTAGATGTTATGCTCGGGACCATTCAAGCGCATTTGGGCTCCACGCTTTGCGAGACAGTCAGCCCTTTCGTTTCGTTCAAACCCTTCATGTCCCGGACCCCACCCGAGCGTTCCACTATTATGGGCCACAGGTAGTTCAGAAGAGTTTTACAGCTGTCCTTGATGCCTGACTATCCGACATAATATTTATTCTGACTCCAGTTGTTCTTCTACTAAGATATTCGCGAACACAGTTTTCGATTGCGAAGACTTCCGCCTGGAATATGGTTTGGTATGTACCCATTGGCAGACTTTTATGGAATCTTTGTTCAAGTACGCCTGCCCCAGAACTCTGGTCGTCCATCATTGATCCGTCGGTATACCATACTTGGGACCCTTCCTCAAATATAGTGATTATCGCTTCACAGCACTCCCTTTCAAGATTTCTAACCTTGTAGGGTTTGTATGGCATAATGTAGCATAATGTCCGACATAGCGGGATTATCCAGGAATGGTTTGGGAACCTCCAAATTACCCCGCAGATCTCCACTTTTCGTGCTGTTCGTATTGGGCAGCCGCAGGGTATAGGGGTCTCCAACATGCCTCTTTCTCAATCAAAATGGACAGGCGAGAAATACCTTAAATGATACCAAGGGCATCCGTTGGACAGGTACGCATAGCTTCTGTGATGGCCACGCAGACCAGTTGGTGCAGCTTGCTCAAGTCACACGTTTTCGGTGGTACCTAGAGCAGCATAAAAAGCAATAATTTTCAGAATTAAATATTAAAAAGTTATACCGAATTGCTTACGTAAATCGGTATTCCTTTTCCCACAATCAGTACATTTCACAGGCAAAAAAAATTTCGCCGTAAACCTCTGGGTCTAATCGATTTTTCAAAGGCAATTAAAAAATAATTACTTGGCCTAACCTAGGAGTGGCCTTTTTACTTTTATCGGTGACAACTACCTCCGGCAATAAATTTTTTCTTGGTATAGTTCTACTGGAATAATCGAAATACTTCCTAAACAAAAGTTTAATGATTTTTGGTGAGTAACTTTCTGGCATAAGGATGGTACGTTAAGGTGGTAGGAAACGAAATGTGATGGGGAAGTACAATAACGGGGTACTGGAGGACAATGAACTTTGGAACAAAAAAAAACTTTATCGTCAAAACAAGAACATATATCATACTTTAAGATCCAACTGTAAAAGCCAAAGATTTCGAAATTGCCTTGCAAAAATACCTTACACTAGGGATGAACGGTGAACTTTTTTTCTGGTACGGTCTAATGTATGTACATTATGGTGGTTCAAAAAAAAAAAGTAAAGTCGGTATTTTAATGCTCTCAAGCCCTAGGAATATTCTGTACCGAAAAAAATGTTACCCCTGTTTTTTTTATTTTGAAATCAAACAATAAATAGAGGTCGCTCAAAGCGCTCAAAGTTTGTTTCTCTTCAGGAGACTTCCAGTAAAAATACCCAATTTTTTATTAAATAATTAAAATCGCTAGTATAAATCTGTATCGCTAGTATTAAAAAATGGTATCATAAACTAATGGGCATTATTATTGTCAGTCTTCTGAAGAGAAACAAAGTTTTCCGATCGAAAAATATTGATGTTCAAGAATTCTATACCACTTGTTTTTTTCCATATAAAATAAATGCAAAACTTTGAAAAAAATTTTTTGATTTTAAGATAAAACAAGTATAATATTTTTTGGTATATAACAATGCTAGGGGGTGAGAGCATTAAATTCCTATTTTGCTTTTTCACATGCATTTTTGGACCACCCTAATGTACCTACATACATATTTGTTTTTATTTTTCTTAGGAAATTTAAATTTAGTATCGACGCAAAGTCATTATCAGTTAATCGGTTATTACTCACTGTGCCATTGGGTTAAAATAACGGAACGCATAAGCGTCATCTACAGCAGAAAATGCACCGTAAAATTAAATACAAAACAGCATTTCCTGTTACTACTTAAGTCGATTGATTGGTGGCAACTACTGTTGCAAGTCAATGCCACTTAAGTCATGCATTTACACATTGAATACGCTGCTGCTTTTGCAGCCAAGCCGATATTTACATACTATGTACTATTTTTTATTTTTTTTTTACTTCAGCGGATATTACCACAGCGATGCCACTATAAATTTGCATGTACAAGTTGACACAAACCAGCAAACATTCCAAAAGTAGCTGCTGGTGCGTTCTTCCTGAGGCATTGCCGCGAGGCAGTCGAATGCCACAAACAAGTTGAATGCTGCAATGAAGAAGATGCAGAAGCGGAGAAGACAACGGCAAGGAGGAACAAATTCAATTGACAAGAGCCATCCACTGCTAAGAAAATGTTTGCGGTTTACTTGCAATTCTTTTTTCGTTCTTGTTTTTGTTTTTGCCGCTGATACAAATGTTCTGGCTGCTGTCAACTTGCCAACATCTTCATGTCATCGTCGATTTGTGGTGCTTACTGTGTTTGTTTTTGTTATTGTAATTATTGGTGTCAATCAATTCAATTGAGTGTAATCAACAGGTTGCTTGCTGCACATGCTTCATACGTACGCAGCAACAGCAGCAAAATGTGCGCACTCCAGCAACTTGTGTGATGATTGTATGTATGTACATACATATGTACATATATGCATATGCAAACAAAATAAACACAAGCCTACATTAAGGCACACAAGCCGCCTTA